AATATACTAATGACACTGGTTGGGAAGGAGTTAAGATCTAGGAGCAATCAAAAGGTTAACTGTTTGTCTAGCAATGTGTAAGGTGTTTATTGTGTGCTGCTTTCACTAAGAGATGTGACTGTCTTTTCTCCCTGCTTTTGCAGGTGGGGTTTGCGGTAAAACCGTGGCCCAACTGCCTGCTTTTACTGCCCACTGGCTGCCAGTGTGAATGAGCCCTAAAAGATCAGTCTCAGCTGCTATTCTGCCTGTACCTTAAAAAACCCTGGCCCCTGTTGACATAATTGCACTTCACCATGTGACCATAGCCAGCCAATATAGTTTTGGACATTTTTTTTTTTAATGGAAAAGGCTGCCCCCAGAGACCTGGCACAGCTGCAGCCTGGAACAGTGACCTGAAGGCATGTTTTCGGTCTGTCCCTCAAGCCAGCCAGGTAGTTGGGAATCTTTGAAAGCCAGATCCCCGGTCTGTTTTTTCTGGACCCCAGATACCAGCAGCCGCTGTCCTGCCCTGATAGAGTCTCTGAGATAAGTCCATCTACAGCTCCGAACAGGTTGTAGAGGTGAGATCTTATTATTGTAATTCCAGAAAGTTGATCAGGATGCAAGCTTATTACTACAGATCCAGGTCATTAATTCTGCAGTGTTTATAGCACAGCATACACAAGGCTCATTTTAGCTGGGTATTTACATACATTGCAGAATAATAAGGTATGAAGGAATAGGAGATGACTGCACGGCTCCAATTAGAAGGTGTTTTATTGGTGTTAGGACACCCTGGCACAAAAGAAAATCTGCACTTTTAATGTTAATGCCACCTCTCCCCATTAACAAGCAGACTTATTACACCTAAAGTAGGTTTCACTGCCTTCAGTCTACACTTTATCAGCTAATAAGGGATATTATGCAATTAATAAGCAGCATAATGAAACGCTCAGGCAGGATTAATGAGGGGGAGCATGAATAGTTTCACTCGCAACTTAATAAATAGATATGTGAAATGAAACCCAACCAGTAATTGGATTTCACACAGAGGCTCAGCATGTGTCCCTATGTATTAGATATAAAAGATTTAAAGGGTCAGTCCGCTTATATATGAGCTTTCAGAAAAAATGAGGGTGGAGTCTAGCAGGCCAGTCAAAAAAACTGGCACCTGGAAGAGGCCCATGTGCAAAAAATTCCTGTTCATTTTTGCCAGAAATGATTTGAGCTGAAAACTTCCTGTTCTCTGCCTGAGGAGATAAGGAGGACAAAATGTATTTCTTCAGATTTGTGAAGGCTGAGATCCTCTGTCAAGGTTTTAATTCCTTGTGTGTTCCCATTAGGTTGAATTTCCTTTACTTCCTGTCCTGGTGACAGCTGTCCAAAAGTGAAAGTTGTCAATGGAACATTAGATCAGGGAAAAACATCCAGTAGGGACACCCAGGACTGCTGTTAGAAACCATGGGGCCCCATATAGCCAACCTGACAGGGCCCCTCCCGAAAAAAAAAAAAAAACCACACCACTCTGTTTACTATGCTTTATATGCTTTAGTTATAAATGAACACAGCAAGTGATTGGTAGCGATCACTAATTGTGTTCATTCAGGAAAGAAAGGGGTTAGTAAATGTGATATTTACCGGATCCTTCTCCCACTCTCCATCCTGAAGGACTCTATTGTGTGCTTGCCGGTGGAAAAGAGAGGAGGGAAGCCGGCAGCATTGCAGGGGTGAGAGCACACAGGGGGGCCTGTGCAGCAGGGGTGATCGTATGGTGCACATGGAGGTGATGGGTGCGGGGGGGCAATTACTGTAAGCGATCCCCTGTATGGCTCTTTGCAGCAGCTGTAAGGGGAGGAGAGAGAGGAGAAGAAGCCAGCTTTTAACTACTGCAGAGAGAGCCATACAGGGCATCGGTTACAGTAATTTCCTCCACCCGCCGTACTGATCACCCTCCATGCCCACATCCAATTCACCCAGCTGTCTGGACCCCCCCGCTGGCCTGGGCCCTGTACAGGAGGACTGGTGGTACCCCCTTATCCATGGCACTGGGGACACCTAGTCCATTGACAGTTGTCAAAGGCAATGACTAGGGCCAAATACACCGTTCAGGAGTTTAGAGTTCATCCTGCTTGTCCTGATTTGCATTCTTGATACAGGTCACTGGTTTAGAAAATATTGACAGCCAGACTCCTAGCATTCTACTATGATTGCTGCTGACAGACTCATCTACCTTACCAACTGCTCATTATCCGTCTACCTTCTCTGCCAATCCCACAAATAAAATGTAAAATCCTAACACATTCAAACATCACAACTCTGCCTCAGGCTACATCTCCAGTCTTGTTTCAATATATCATCCAAACTGTCCTCTGCTCCTCTTAAAGACCTCCTACTCTCTAACCCGCAGTATCCTCCTCCCAGTCTCGTCTTCGGGATTTCTCCAGAGCCTCTCTCATCCTCTTTAACTTCCTACCCCAATCTGTCTCCTACATTGCATTCCTACTTTGTCTACCGTTAGGCCAGGGGTGCTCAACCTGTGGCCTACAAGTCACTAGTGGCCTTCAGAGCCCTCTCATGTGGCCCTCAAACTCAAACCAGGGAAGCACACTTCTATTATATCCTGCAGGTTTGGTGAGCTTTCTAAAAGTGCACCATACTCACAAGATATAATAGAAGTCTATGGCAAAGTGCAGCTAACCTGCAGGAGAGAGGCAACTATGGGGTAAAATTGAATAGTTGAGACGTGTTTTTACAACACACCCCCAACCACTGGTGTAGTGCCAGGAGCTGCAATGGTGACCCCGCCCCATGCTCAAGGGGGCCCGTATGGCCTCCCTATCACATTCTGTTTTATACTTGGACAGGAGGAGCATCGGGGGCGGCATATACAGGAACCATCCCCTCCATTTTCCTCCTGCAACCGCTGAAAGACAGCTTCTCCTCTTCTCCCTCCCATAGGCATTTTGCAGATACAGGAGGAAAATGTTCATTATGCTATTCAAAATTTGAAATTTGGAACCATTTCATTTAATTGTGGCCCAAGTTAACAAATCACTTAAGTGGCCCTGCCTCTTAAAAAAGGTTGAGCACTGCTGCATTAGGCAATCCCTGAAAACTGGGCTCTACAGGGATGCCTATCCCACCTCCACCTAACTACAGAACTTTTGATTCTTCCATCAGCTCATCCTCCATACTTGCCCCTCCCTATAGAGTGTTAGCTCTTATGGGCAGTGTCCTTCTAACCGTTCTCTTGTATTGTATTGTAACAGTACTGTCCTTTTGTATTGTGCAAACTGTTGATGCTATATAAATTATTATTATTATACAGTATTTATATAGCCCCTCCCTATAGAGTGTTAGCTCTTATGGGCAGCGTCCTTCTAACCGTTCTCTTGTATTGTATTGTAACAGTACTGTCCTTTTGTATTGTGCAAACTGTGGATGTTATACAAGTTATTATTATTATACAGGATTTATATAGCGCCAACAGTTTGCTCAGCACTTTACAATATAACGGGAGACAATACAGCAACAATACAGTTCAATACAGGAGGGATAGGAGGGCCTGATCATGGAAATCCTGCATAGTTTGTAAAAAGAGTTCAAAAGTAGACCGTAGTGCTGCAAGGCAGGCATGCTCACCACTAGGCCACCATGCCGAAAATGATGTCACCTAATTTAGTCTTGTAACACATTACATAATGCTGTGTCCTATATATACTTAACATGCACAAAAACAATTTCCAAAACATAATTGTCTTCTGACCACATAGAAGCTATTGAAGAAACCTGGGCGTCCTGAAAGTGGAATTGTTTCTGTTTAATGGATGTGTATTGATCTGCAGAGACGTCACACCGTTTTGACACAATTCAAGCCTAAAATACAACAAATCCCATAACAAAAAAACAAAATCAACTTTATAGACATTACTCACCTTGGTAATCGTACCAAATTAAGCAGTTAATGAACCCAAAATGTTTTTTTTGGGTTCAGTTCCCCGTTAAGAGGTGCTGAGACGTTCGTTGTCACCGTCGTGTCACACAGAGAGCGTTCAATGACACATTGGAGACACCTATTTTTCAGCGCTAAGAAGGCAGCCTAATTGCTTTACTAGTTTCTGCCTAAAAGCCTCAAGTAATTACAAGAAGCAGGATGAACAAACACACAAGTACACCATGAACCGTTTCCCTGATCCTGCCAGCTGCGGGGCGCTTTCAGGTGAGTCTGGCACCATCCGCCAACCTCACGGTTTTGGCTCAGCAAGAATAGAAGTCTTAAGCATTGTTCTGTGGCCTTCATTGTGAATCTAGGGAAGACTCCAGTTTAGTGAAAATGCAGAGAAGAGGTAATTACTGCAAGTGGCAATGAATATGGATAATAAATATAAAAATTCCTTTATTGCAATTATATATTCATTGACTCATGAAAAGCATTTTGAAATGCTGCTAGTAGAACTGTCTCAAGGACAGAAAAACAGAAGGTATCTACATATCTACTTGTCTCACTTATATCACAATCCCAAAATGTAAGAAGATGTAAACATCACTAAAATCTAATTCAGGTTTTAGCAAGTTCATTTCAAAGGTTGTTTTCAATTATTTTAAATCTACAGCTCTCATTAAAAAGCCGGCCATACATGGATCGAAATTTGTCCGGCTCAGCATGGGCTGGCTGATATTCGATCCTTGTATGGGCAGGCTGATTGTACCCAAATCGATCCATCGATCAATTTGGGTAAAACCAGACTGTCAGATTTTTTTTATATTGGATTACTGCCAGCCGCTATAGCCACTAGCAGTAGTTACTGTGTTCTTCCAGCCAGGAAGGCATTTCCTGGGTCTGCACACCTGCTGTGTCCATCATGCGAGGTTTCTGTCATCCATGCACTGAGTTCCTGGGTCTTGACACCCACTGTGCCAATTATGAGGGGTTCCCACCATCCCTGCACTGAGTTCCTGGGTACTTACACCTACTGTGCCCATTATGATGGGTTCCTGGGTCTGCACACATGCTGTGCCCATTATGAGGGTTTCCTACCATTCATGCACTGAGTTACTGGGTCTTTACACCTACTGTGCCCATTATGATGGGTTCCCACCATCCATGCATTGAGTTCCTTGGTCCTTACACCTACTGTGTCCATTATGAGGGGTTCCCACCATCTATGCACTGAGTTTCTGGGTCTTTACACCTGCTGTGTCCATTATGTAGGGTTCCTACCATCCATGCAGTGGGTTAATGGGTCTTTACACCTGCTGTGTCCATTATGAAGGGTTCCTACCATCCATGCTCTCAGTTCCTGGGTCTTTACACCTGCTGTGCCCATTATGATGGGTTCCCACCAATCTTGCATTGAGTTCCTGGGTCTGCACACCTGCTGTGCCCATTATGATGGGTTCCCACCAATCTTGCATTGAGTTCCTGGGTCTGCACACCTACTGTGCCCATTATGCGGGGTTCCCACCATCCGTGCACTAAGTTCCTGGGTCCTTACACCTACTGTGTCCATTATGTGGGGTTCCTTTCATCCGTGCACTGAGTTCCTGGGTCCTTACACCTACTCTGTCCATTATAAGGGGTTCCCACCATCCGTGCAATGAGTTCCTGGGTCCTTACACTGTGTCCATTATGTGGGGTTCCCACCATCCGTGCACTGAGTTCCTGGGTCCTTACACCTACTCTGTCCATTATAAGGGGTTCCCACCATCCATGCACTGAGTTTCTGGGCCTTTACACCTGCTGTGTCCATTATGAATGGTTCCTACCATCCATGCAGTGAGTTCCTGGGTCTGCACACCTACTGTGCCCATTATGCAGGGTTCCCACCATCCGTGCACTGAGTTCCTGGGTCCTTACACCTACTGTGTCCATTATGTGGGGTTCCTACCATCCGTGCACTGAGTTCCTGGGTCCTTACACCTACTCTGTCCATTATAAGGGGTTCCCACCATCCATGCACTGAGTTTCTGGGCCTTTACACCTGCTGTGTCCATTATGAATGGTTCCTACCATCCATGCAGTGAGTTCATGGGTCTTTACACCTGCTGTGCCCCTTATGAGGGTTCCCACCATCCCTGCTGGATTTTGTATGTATTTTACATTATAGAGAAAATAAAAAGGGGAGCTAGAATACACAAAGGTGGGCAGAACACACAAAACTCCAAGATGGGTGGGAATTATGGCAGGGAAGTATAGACCTATAACAAGCTAGGAGCTGCTTTGCTTTAGATACACTTTAACGGCAGCATTGCCATAGGTTAACACACATTGCACGCCACTCTGCCTGCATCTGCTGGTATCCTGTTAATCACGCACTGTACAGCGTGTTCTTTGAAGAAAGTGATAATGCCCATTGTACAAGGTAGAGGAGCATTTGTTAAGTAGAATCTTGTATCTTGTCAAGTTTTCAGTATGTTTTTTATAAGCAAAACAGAAATTTTCTCTGTACAGAAACAACAGAGGTCTCAAGAAACCAGCTATCGAAAAAGTCAGATAGTGTGAAACCCAGCCACGCAATTCCTGGAACACTCGGCATACTCAATTTTTTTTTTTTCAGTCGAACATTTGACCGACCATCAGCTTGTACTAATTACAAGCCATCAATACAGGCTGCCAAGAGCTGACTGATCAAATAACCACGTTCAATCAAACTCCTCTCGGCTTCCAGCCATGAAGAGGTTAAATGACTTTAATTTTCTTGGTCAAACAGCCCAAATCTCTCCGATTCCAGTCTTGCAGCTTGAGGTTGACAGCTCTGTATAATAGTGACTTACAGATAAATGAGGGAGATTTGAAGGTTAGTTGAATTTCTTTTTTCAAGATTCAGGGGAACGTGTGCCGTACAGGGAACGCTTCTGCCATCCAGAGGCCTGACATATTATGACAGCCAATGTTTTTGCTTTGTAGCAGCTCGAAAGCCCACAGTTCTGTTGTATGTTGGAAAATCTTTTTTTCTTTACAAATAAAAAGCCACCTAAATAAATGAAAGTGAATTTTACCTCGCTTCAGCCTTCATTCACATTGACGCATGAGACATCACCAAGTGTCTTTAAATGTGCAATGTTTTACAAGGATCTCCTTGAATTGACAGGAATGACACTTGCAGATCAAGGCATCCGAAAAGCCTGCATGGTGGGCCTGTAACTTAAATACAGAATATATATAAGAACTTGTTGGTTTCAGCATTGCTGAGATCTTGTTCACACAGGCTTCATCTTGTCTAGGAGCAGTGTGTACAGCTATGAAATGAAAAGATTTGCAAAGATCTGAGTAAACTTTAGTCAGCTTAGTTGAACCTTTAAAGAGGCCCTGTCACCAACGTAAAACATCTGCGCAGCCTTTTCTAAGCGGTTCTGGATTTACACACCTGCTGTGCCCATTATGAGGGGTTCCCACCATCCCTGTGCTGAGATCCTGGGTCTGCACGCCTGCTGTGCACATTATGAAGGGTTCCCACCATCCCTGTGATGAGTTCCTGGGTCTGCACACCTGCTGTGCACATTATGAAGGGTTCCCACCATCCCTGTGCTGAGTTCCTGGGTCTGCACACCTGCTGTGCACATTATTAGGGGTTCCCACCACCCTGCAGAGAATAACAGAGGAAAGTGTTTTAAATGCTTATTTGCAGTATTTTTCCTTTCCATTAACAATATTTATTTGCAGTATACCTTTCAACTTTCTAAAAAAAAAATATTACTACAATCTGAGTCAGTTCCCTAGCATAGCCCTCTGCTCTTCTGAGAGTGTCTAATTACTGCCTGCAGTGACCCTCCTCTGTCCTTTACTCTACATAACTATATAATGTAGTTGCCAGAAGAGGAGTGAAGAGGAATAATATAGTGTCACCTGAGTGACGGCTCTAAGTCTGATGGGGCTGCTGACATCACATTCCAGATGATGGCATCCAACAGACATCTTAGGACCTTTGGATGTCTACACAAGGGAGGCCTTTACAGGTACAGAACATGCCATCCCCTTCAATATAGAAGTCTGCAAGTGGGTGGGTGAGGCTCTGGGGATCCCTTTCCTTTCCTGCTTGAGTTATGCGGAGTGGTCTTGGTGCCTTTCAAACTCACCGGGACTTTGATTTTGAGACACTTTTTCTAGTTAGCTTAGTAGTCCGTTACTACACGTGGAATGCACGGTGTCAGGTTTCCATTCGCAAAGAAGTCCTTCCTGTTGATGTGGTGGTGAACAACATTCTGGGTGAGGTTGGGAAGATTCGGGGTCTTGAGAAGGATGGGTGGTGGCTGGGAGCCTGGATAAAGGCGTGGAGGAATGTCAGGTCCCTGTAGCTGCTTTCTGTCAGGCTCTGGGGGCGTGGCTTCTCTTTCTGTCCTCTCACGTCCCCTAGATTTTTGTAAGATCAGATTTTTTAAAAAAGGCTGCATGCATGGCATAAATGTTTAATTGTTTCTTAGCCTCAGGGGGTGTTTCAGTGATGGTCGGGTTTTCTGAGATGCAATATAAAGATGATAATAATAGGAAAATAATAGGAAAATTTGATTTGTTTTGTTTGTTTTTCCCGGCAAAAAAAATCCGTTCCTGTTTTCTATGCTGAAGTGAGCTATTTTTGTTTAATTGTATATACGTATTTATTTTATTTATTCTGCATATATGTAAATATGTTTATTATTTTGTTTGTAAGATTTATAATAAACAAAAACTTACAGGTACAGAACATGCCTGAAATATGTTAAAGTGTTACTAAACCCACAACAGTAAAATCAGTCTGTATATGCAGTAAAGCATGCGTGTTATACTTATTGTGGAACCTAAGGGGTTAATCCTCTGCATTGTGTAAAAAGGCTGTTTGATCCTGTCTTCTCTGATCCTCCCCTTCTTTCACTGTCCCCAATCCATACTTTTTTTTTTCTTTGGGAGGGTGCATGTGATCAGCACAGGGCCAATCAGCACTGCCCAGACAGAGGGTCAGGGGTTATGCAGCTTTGTAGGACAGGCAGAGCAGAAAACTCCTACAAGCTTTAACCAGTGCTCTGCTGGGCACTGATAGAAGTCACACGACTGCTATATACTGTTTATGAGAAAAGGTATTTAGCAGTTTATTTTTACTAAAATAGTTTCATTTCCATGTTGTGTGTACTGTGGGAGAGCGGATATAGTGAATGCAGGGTCCTGGGTTTAGTAACACCTTAAATGCACATATAAGCCTGTGGTAAGATTGTTCGGGGAGGTTAAACTCAGATCTTAAAGTGACACTAATAATTGCAACCCTGATCCTCCTATTCTTGGGGCCCTGCCGACACTCCTGGACCCTCGCCCCTGCTGAGTGCCCCCCGAGCTGCCTCTGTGTCTATGAGACACAGAGTGCGACTTGCCTCCCCCTCCCTCCCCCCCGACTCCAGCTGCCAATGAGAAGGCAGTGTTCCAGCCAATGAGAAAGGAGAGCCCCAGGAGAGCCGCTTATATCATGCACAGCTTGTTTAAAGTGACAGCACTCACGCTAACATCTGTGTTTAACCTCCTTACATTTGATTTGAAGTATTCTTTAAAGGCTCAAACAAAGCTGCTTGAAGCATGCAGAAAGCCTAAGCTTGCTGTACACACTGTGCTTATACAAGTTGAAGCCAGTGTGTACAAGGCATGCTTGAACACATAGGCTTCAGCTTCTATGAGATCAGTGACTACAGCAAGCTCTTACAAAACATTTGCACAGATTTCAGCCAAACGTAAGCAGCTGACCCAATGCGGTGCAACCTGCTGCAAATACCGTACTTAAATGACTTGCATTCGGTGGTGATACTGCCAGCAGAATGTGACATGCCATATTTTGCATGAGGGCGGCACAGTGTCTTAGTGGTTAGCACGTCTGCCATGAAGTAAATGGGTGATGGGTTCGATTCCCAACCATGGTGCCTCCTGCATGGAGTTTGCATGTTCTCCCTGTGCTTGCGTGGGTTTCCTCCGGGTACTCTGGTTTCCTCCCACACTCTAAAGACCTGCTGGTAGGTTAATTGGCTCCTGTCTAAATTGTCCTAGTTTCATCCCTGGCTATGTGGGATCTCCTGCATGGTAGGGGTTGGGGAAAGACCTGGCAACCTACCCTGTAAAATAATTGCTAAGAGAATTCATGGAAAAAGTTGCTTATGAGTGACAGTCCATGCAATCGCCAAGGGTCAGATACGACTGAATGGATAGCTAGATAGATTTTGCATGAGTGGCTGCACCATGAGTGGCTGCATGCCCTTGCTTAGGTGAGTGGTTAGGAGGTGGTAAATCTGTGCTTCAACATCCTGCATTTACCACCCTCTGGATGCCCCATGTGAATAAGCCCTTGAATTTCTATGTTGCTCACAGTTCCACTATCATTGTGACAGTGATTGTCAGACAGCAGGTTCATTTCAGAAAGAGCAGTGCTGATCCGAAAGAGCTTGTAGATCACGGCACTGCTGGCTGAGCACATTCTCTGCCACATCATTATTCTAATTGTAGCGGAAACCTTCCCAAAGTCCTGCATTGGAATCTGTCCCAGGTGCTCCCCGCGCAGGCCCTAGCAATTGATCACAAGACAAGCATCTCTATCTTCCTCCTTGCCAAGATGTCATTGCATCCCATAAAATTCCGTGCAGCAGGACCATTTGGCTCGAGTCAGCAAAGGGGGATAGCAGAACAATCGAGTGTAACAAGTCGAATGTGCAAAATATCCCTTAATGACATAACAGCTGAATTCTACTTACAGAAAGGTTATTCTGTATTATGCAGGAAATGCAGCTCCTTGACTATAGATGTAATCACAGTGCAAGACAAGGAGTCACCTTCTACAACTACACCTTCTACAACTACACCATCGACCATTTACTCCAACATGAAAGAGGTCTTACTTGCCTCCACGTTCCTTATTCCTCATCCTTATTGTATTTCTTTATGAATTTCTAACAAACATAGCACCATAAAGTAACATTTTTGAAAATAAGAACTACCTGAAAGCGTTGGTACATACACAATACAATTTTCTGTTCAATTTCTGCCTAATTTCCTTTAGATTTACCTTCAGCTATGTAGTACAAGGGCCTGCATAATTGGATACAACTGAAAGTGTTGTTCAGGTTTGACTTCATATTATATGGTTTTTGGTAAATCTAAAGCAATTTTCTAGAAAATTGTATAATGTATGGCCGGTCTAACAGTGAAAATGTCACAGCGATTTCATAAATGTGGTGCAAGGTTTCTGACTAATAAAACCACACTGCTCAAAAATGAGTTGTTATTGAATCGCCCCCAATGTCTTAGGCTGGCCATACGCTATGCAATTTTCTTAGTTTTCTGCCCAATTTCTGCCCAATTTCCTTTAGATTTACCTTCCACTATGTAGTGCAAGGGCCTGCCTAATTGGATACAATTATTATAGTATTATTATTATACAGGATTTATATAGCGCCAACGATTTGCTCAGCGCTGTACATTATAATGGGAGACAGTACACAAGACAGTACAGTAACAATACAATGCACGAGGGGTTCAAGGGCCCTGCTCCTTGGAGGTTAATTGAAAGTGTTGTTTATGTTTGACCTCATATTGTATGGTTTTTGGTAAATCTAAAGCAAAAATCTCTGGAAAATTGTATAATGTGTGGCCAGCCTTAGGCTGGCCATACATTATACAATTTTCTTGAGGTTTTTGCTGGTGGTTCAGCATTAAGCCTGGGTTCAACTACATGCGGCTCCGTATATCGCATGTGATTCCCACAGGAACCGCACCGCATTCCTGTGCAAATAACATGCGATTTGTGTGTAGTGCGATTGGAGCCATACATTTTGTATGGCTCTATTTGCATCGCACCCACACCAAAAATGGGCAGGACCCTTTTTTGGTCTGCACTACTGTAGAATTGGATTGCATGGGTATTCACACCCATGCGATCTGATTGTTCACATTGCACAGCGTTTTGCGGACCGCTTTTGGGGTGTTGTTAACATACACACCCGCAGCGGTTCGCATGAACGGGGTGCGATTCTGATGCGGAAATCGCACTGAAAACGCTATGAATTCCGTACCGCATCAGAATGAACCAGGGCTTAGTGATGACATCAGTGAAAGGGTTGCTGACAAGAGCAGCTTTGAAGAACCATGCATTGCAACTGAAATCAGCAGGGAGGGAAGACCATAGGGCCATGGATTAATGTAACTATTGAAATTTGGATCACTTTTCAGAGGCATTTGAAAGGTGATGAGGAAGTGATATGTTGCCTCCACAACCGCCTGTTTTCACCCCATAAATGCTGCACTAAAACTGCACAAATGCAATGAATTGAATTCATCCAAAGTGGCAGAGGGTTTAATTTCTGCGGCGTCCACAAAATATCAAGGCCACAGCATGTGTACACCCCCAACTGTTGCCTTCGCAGCATGGGGGGGAGCAGGATGATGCGGCCGTGAAAGCTAGCTAGGGAAGAAGATCCCCCACTAGCAGTCACAATGGGGGGATCGGGGAATGCAAGGGCCGATCGTACAGTAACATGTTACACCCTGAATAAGGGCGTA